GACTTTGCGTGAAAGTGTTGGAGCAACTGCTGTGTATTTCCCATCGTGGCGACTTAATTCCCAGAATCCAGTCTTTAATTGTCCCTTTCTCTTAATTGACTCCTGTAGCACACCGAGACACCAGACTCCATCATTTCTAACCTCAACGTCCCAGCTGTGACTCCCCGAGTCGTAGCCCTCAGAGCCCATGATGATCGAATAGCTGTCAAACCTTTCTGGGTTTTCAGGAAGCTTCTGTTTGCGTCCTTGTCTCACACTAGTAAGATCTGAAGAGATGATGAGGTGTCCTTCAGCGGTGTTTGGATTCAGAATCACAGGAGTATAGGAAACTGTCTCCTTCATTTTGTTCCAGATGTCGTAGGCCAGGTTGCCCAGGTGTTTGGCCACATCGATCAGAGCTCCAGAGACCACCTCAGGATCCTCCAGCAGGGGGCGCTGCTGGACTCTTTCTGCTGCAGCCTTGTAGTTATAGAGAAACAAAGAGTCATCAGCTCTCAGTTCCTCCTGTGTGGCACTGATGGTTTCAGAAAGAGCTGCTATCTTTTTGGTCAGAGCCTCAATCTTCTCCTGCATCATCCGACTCTTCTGCTGCTCTTCTGTCTTCAGAGCGGTGATCCTTGCCTCTTCCTCCTCAAACAGAAAGTGATGAAGCTTCTTAAACTGCTCCTTAATCTGGCTCTCTATGTACCGAGTCTGCACTACGTTGTGTTCTACAGTGAGGTCACTGTTCGCTTTCACGTATTCAAAGAGCTTCAGTTTATCTTGTAAACACTTGAGAAACACCTGGAGCTTCACTCTTTGATCCTGTGCAGCTTCTTCAATGGGTCTGAATCTGTGGTTGTTGTGTGCTTTTGAGTCTCGACATACGAGACACACGGGCTCCTCGTGGTCCAAACAGAAGAGTTTGAGTTTCTCAGCGTGCAGATTGCAGAGAGCTTCAGATGCTGCTAGTGGTGTCTCTGCTCTCTCAGCTCTCTCCTCTACAGCAGTCTTACACAGGTTCCTTAGCACTAAACTCACAGGTGGGTCAGTTGATGAGGGTATCTTCATGCAGAGTGGGCAGGTTTGGGTGTCCTTCTCCTTCCACCACAACTGCAGACATTCTTTGCAGAAGCTGTGGCTGCATGAGAGGATGACCGGATCTCTGAAGATTTCATGGCAGATCGAACAGGTGAGTTCCTTTTCAGACTCAGATTGTGCAGCCAGTTTGCCCTGGAATGGAAGCAAACCCGCAGGTGGCTGTAAAAAAGAAAAACTGCGCTTCACATTTGGGTTTTTTTTTAAATTCGCTTCCATGGCAATGAACTAGCAGCAGGTTTAGCAGCACTCCAGTGTCCCCGGTGATCTTTCTGCTGTAGTTGGAAAACTCACGTCTCCTCCGGTTACTCGTCCTAAGCAAACTGAACAGAAATCAAGTCCAACTTTGACTTATGAGGTATGTTATCTGATGCCTATATGGTCAAAGAACGAGGAAAATACATTTCACAAGGTTGCTTGTCTCATGCAGAGCATTCCCCACATTACTGGGTTATCTGCATCTGACGATTGCTACAGAGCCAGCCTTTGTTTCAAACTGATCAACATTTTTGATATAGGCAGGTATATTGAAAGAGAGCATGCACAAACAGTGAGCTAATTATTTGTTTGCACTGTTATATGTCAGGGTTCCTCCTGAGTACTCCGGCTCTCTCCTCCTCACTGATGTTCTTCTTGGTTTAACTGGTGATTCTAAACAGGATGTAGGTGTGGATGTGAGACTGTGTGTTTATATCAGCAGTGATGGTTCCTGCCCCTCCACAATCCCAACTCAGATATAAGATGATGTTACATTTCCCTTTGTGTTTGCTTTATTCTCTCCACTCTTTGGTCCACCTGGGAAAAACGCTCTTCCTCTTTCAGATCTTCAGCATCCCCAGTTGCCTGCCTCTTTTTTTTTTTCCCGAGGCCCTGGTATTATTAATTATTTTTCATTAATTTTCATAAGTAGACCACAATAGCAATGCAAAGGTAAGTGTTTGGGGTGATAAAAATAAAAATATCTATGCTCCTTAGGATATATCGGAAGTCCACTTGGTCTAATAGCTTTCACTGAGAAACAAGATCTCACCACTCAGTTATTTTGGAACTCCTGTCTTCATATCTAAATGAATACGTCCCCAACTATAATTTCAATGGTCACTGGGATGGAAAAAAAAAAGCATGAGTTAAAAGGTTAGACCAAAGATTATAAGAAGGAAAAACATGACTGAACCACAGTTCACACACCAAAGATAATCTCTTTCGTAACATAGCTACAGTCAGACACGGCTGCACAATCATGTGGTGTGGATGTTTTTCTGTGGGATTTTTGATTTCTATCAGAAAGATCCTAACTAATCCTAAATCAAATCTAAGGACTCTGCTCTCCAAGGTGAATGACTTCCAAGTGTTTCTCAAGCACCTGCTCATTTATCTCTAGAGCCGCATGAGGTCAGAATTCTGAACTGAAGCCAAAAGATTAGAAAGCCCCGGATAAAGTGGCTGCAGCTTTCTGCTGGGTACCAAGAATCCACAGATTATTGTAGAACTTACACTGGAGTCACCTGAAGAGTTCTCTCTGCTTTGTGGAAACCCAAAGTCTCATTGTAGATTCCTTAACTGGTTTATTGGCTGAACTTTGAATATCAGCTGTCAGTATTTATTTTAGCCCAACGTGAGTTTTGGGCCTCCACCTGCCCCCTGCATGTGCAGACTTTTGTTTTTCAAATTTAGTAATCTGGCACCAAATCAGTGTGAAAACACCAGCATGGAGAAATAGAATAGACGAGTCTAAACCAGCACCCGGAGTTTATTAATCAACATTTATGACAATCACGGATCAAACGTAACGTCGGCCCTTGTAAACCCTGAACTTTAATCAAACTCGTACATACACGCAGTATCAAAACAACACAGAGATCCTTTTTCACGAAACAAAATCTGAGCAAATGTTTCAGTGCAGCAAATAAATACACCAAAAATGAATCATTGGCATTAAAACAGTTGCTATTTGCCCAAAACAAACAGACTGTTGTCATGTTACTGGGCAGTGAGTGGGTGCAGTTTACAGACACAAACACAGGATGTGTTTTTCATTTTTAATGTAACTGCATGTTTCCCAACATCTACTGAAAGCAAACATGGTTGTTCACAGGTGCCGATAAAATTATTTCATGTTACAACGAGAAATCATCAATGAACAGAAAACAAAACTTTGATTTCATGTCCCAATTCCATCATACACGGTTTCTGAGCTGAGTCTGAGTTTGTAGTGAAGTCACACCAGCAAAGTGACTGAATCAGTGTTCAAAGTGTCGCTGTGGTTGAATCTGGCTGCAGTTTGACAAAAACCTTTGAACAAAAAGAACAACTTCATTCAGAAACCGAGTGCAGTTTCTCAGACACTCGTACCTGCTAATTAGTGCTTAGTACAGGCAGATATTAGTATTTCATTCACCAACGCTGAAGCACACTTGCTCCTTGCTCCACAAGGCACCAACAGCACAAACACAGTCGAAAGGTCCGGTTCAGACTCAGTTAGCCGAGGTGACGCCTGTAACTCTACCTGCCTGAGAGTGAAAGCAGCAACAGCATCAAACTTTAAGCCAAATAAAAATTAAACAGACGAGTCATTAAAAATACAAACACCTTATGAAGGAGGAAACTAGTTAGCCAAAACCATGGATGCACTTGTCTGTAAGCATTTTTATTTGTGCTGTAAAGCTGGACATTTTAACATGGGAGCCTATGGGGACTGACTCATTACAGCCAGACTCTAGTGGACATTAGAGGAACTGTTACAGAACGAGTGTGTAGAGTGGATTTGAGACACTGTCTTATAAACATGCATGTAGTCGTCCTTTCATCTGCGAAGATGTTCAGATTGACTCCACTCATACGTCAATATGGTAAATATAAAGGACATAAAGATGGAAAATAAAACAGCTGGTTTTAATTTACTTTTTAAATATAACTAATTAACCATTTGACACTTTTTTGCCTGTTGGTACCTTAATATTCACCAAACAGACATCAGAGTTCATATTTTAATGTTAATTACAAATTTGATCTAAATAAATAACCTTGATGACATGCAGAAATACGAGTAAAGCAGGCATTCATTTGGTGAATTATATGAAAGTGGAAAACACGAGCTCACTGCAGCTTTAACTTGGTCCAAAACAAGAAGAAGAAGAAGAAAGGCCCTTTACATTTCAGACTCCGCTCCTCTGTGATATTTAAATCTACAACCAAAACCATCATAAATATTTGGATCCATTATTATGTGTGTTCTTCCTGGGACCAGTCTCCAACCCTCCACCGAAGCTTGATGATGATTATCTGTTTCTGCTCTCCAAACATGCCAAACTCGAGCGACTCAGTTGTCAACACATTCACTGCAGTCTTCGTTTCCTGCTCGGTAGTTGTTATTATCTGATGTTTGACAAACGCAGCTTCTCGCCAGAAAAACTTTCCAGTTTCTGATCAAAATCTCAAGTAGTGTTCTGCAACACAATGAGGTTGAACTGGTTTTTACTTTAGATGACTTTAGGTAAACGAGAACTGAAGAGCAGACTGTAAAAGGCAAACACTGTTAAACTGGTGAGAAACTAAAGGTTTCTAAGCTCTTAAAAACAGCTTTTTCTTTCTCCTCTGACCACGACAGATGCCACTTTTAACAAAAAGGCAATTAGGGAAACAGAAACGCGTGCACGTGGGCGAGAATGATCAAATAAAAGAGGTTTTTCCTTCAGTGCGACAGCTGGTGCTTTAAAATAAAACCTGGAGCTGCAAGAACAACAAAGCATCAAAAAATAAACTTTCCCAGAGTGGCTTACAGGAAGAAACCACAGGTGGAGGTTACAGGTGGAGGTGAGGCTTCAGAGTAAGCCACGTGTCGACATCCCACACGTCTGTCATGTTGTATGTTGCAGTGCTATTGTTTGCATGTGACGCTGTACCGTGCGCACGTTCCGCGTGTGCCGTTTTGATCTGTTTGAGGACCACAGGAGGTCTGAAAGTCTTTTACCCTCCTTCAGTTTTTGTTTGTTCCCTCTGAGGATAAAAAGAAGACGAGTTTATTCCTCCCTTGAGTGCAAACACGGGTGCGTTTTATTTGAGAATCAGCGTCGCCTCAGAGCCGTCCTTCCTCTTCAGGTACAGCCCGTTGGTGAGGTGGTGCTCTCTTCTCAAGAAGGCGTAGAAATAATCTGACACCAGCAGGATCTGAAGGGGACATATATTTATATCAGGACACTGAGACTGCACTATCGGGGGGGATTCTTCTTACAGACTGCCTCTTGTAAATAAGATTTTCTTTACTGCCACTTTGAAAGAAGACGTGATATTGAAACAAAAAAAAAAAATCCCAAATCTAAAAATGGATGAAACTTCATTTAACAGCGTTATTGCATTTATCTTTAACTAAATAAATAAACAGCATTAACTCTGCCCCCCTGGCTCACATGCACACCATCCTACCTGCGCCACGTTGAAGAGCAGAGTTATGGCGTAGTAGAAGTTGGAGTTGGCGCTGCCGGCGTAGATCCAGAGGTGCCAGAGAACCGGGAACAGAGCCGAACAGGCCAGCAAGACACAGGACACCAGGAAGATGTTCCTCAGGACTGAACAGGAACAAAGACATATAATTACTGATAAATCAAATCAAAAACATGAATTAATGAAGCTTTAAGATGCTACAAGAGAAAAATCAGGACTTTCATTTGAGGACAGTTTGGAGCTGATGAAAAATCTCTGACCAATCAGTGTTAAAGATCTTTTTAATTTCATCCTGTATTATTATTTCATATTTATTCTACAGTGTTTCAGAGACTTTGTTTTTATGTTTTTTTACTCTCACTGATCGGCAGTGCTTCTGACCCCAGACAACATAAATTTAAGGTAAATATTCAAAACATTTTTTTTATGTGATGATACTTTAACCAGGATCTGTAAGAGCACAGACTCTGAGTGGAAATGTTGTCAGGTCCCCCCCCCCACTCACATCTGTGCAGGTGACTCCAGACAGGAAGGAAGGCCAGATAGAGTGCAACGTCTCCCACAGTGGGGTACGACTTAAAGATGGAGATCACAGCTAACTGCATGAAGATCAGGAAGACGGGATGCTCCCTGCAGCACACACACGAACACAGATGATACATCATGTTGTGGTTTTACTCAGGTTTAGGTTATTAAACAGGAAAAAAAAAAAAACTGTGTCAACTTGGAAGGACCTTTAACGTGAGAATGAGGTGCTGGACTTACTTTAGTTTGATGGACAGAGGGATGGTGTAGAAGAAAACATTAATCTGGAAGACGCAGAGGAAGAAGAGGCGGAAATGTTCAAACATCTCGGCAAAGAAATACCAGAAGAGGCCGATGTTCGGAGTGAGGTCAGGAACCGAGAGACTGGAGGGAGAGAAAACAGTCCCATTAGAGATGCAGACACACTTACAGAGTTTATTCTGTCTTCACACATCACACGCACTCATTGGAACTGAACAGTGAAAATAAATAAGCTTCACAGCGCCCTCTGGTGGAGTAATTATGCAATAAAAAAGTTGGACGTTTTGCGCAAATATGGACAGTTTCTTCCTCCTGCTGATGCAACACCATGAGATATTTTCTCTTATGCATGGCAGCTCAGAGGTGCTGACAGAGGCGTGTGTCTGATGCAACGCTGATGTGTAAGCAGTGCAGTTCATTACATCGCATTGCTAACAGTGATTATCCTGTGCTGCCTCCTGCAGTCTATCCAGGCAGCTGGAGAGGGTTTATCTAGTAAATTAAGCTAGATATACTTTAGAAGAGTGGTTCCTAAAGTGTGGGCTGGGTACCCCTTGTGGGCCACTAAGGTCCTGCAGCTGGACCACAGTAACAGAAATTCAGTTTGTATGTACAAGTATGCATGTCATCTACATATTTATAAAAAGATATTTATATAAAAGGGGAATCAAGTGGTTAGTTTGTGATATTACTCGTTACTCTGACCTAAATGTATTGCTGAAGTGTGTGACAGGTGGGTCACACACCATCCTTAACACTTTGCACATGACTGTGTAGCATTAACAATTTAAAGCCAACAGCCTGTGTGCTTTATGTTTTTGGAGAAAATTTTTACGTAAACATGACTTTCTCTAACAATTTGTTTAGAGTGAAGATTTAAGATGAGCTCTGTGGGCCGCGGCACTCTTGTGTTTCTGCATGGCTGCTCTAGAGTATATCTGGGGTTTTCCACGGTTGCCATTTCTAATTTACTGTAGAAAAGATAATAACCTCATTCATCTAAATTTTTTCTGACAAAAGCCAAAAATCCTCAAATCAACAAACCAATGAACTGATCAAATCTTAAAACCTCACATGAGAATTTACTTCAACACAACAGAGACATCGGTGCTTTTATTTTATGCCAATTCATGGCTTCCAGCTCCTCTCCTGCTCTCTTGGGTGGTTCTAACTGCTGCTTTAGGTCAAGGTGCTCGACTTTGAGGAGCAGCTTGGATTTTGTCGACTCTCGGATGGCTTTAAGAGCTGGTGAGGTTTGGATTTTAGCACAGTCTACGACTGGCTGTCTGAGACATGAATAATCCCGAGTGAGGCCAAATTCACTCATTTTTATCTTTCTTGTCTTCAGCACTTTTGCCACAAACTCGGGAACGCGTGCCTGAGAGAAACTACATGAAGACAAAGCTCCTCAGCCCCGCCGTTTCTTTTCTTTACTCACATGAAGCCGTAGACGGAGGGCAGGTAGTCCCAGGAGCCGAGCAGGAAAAAGGAGAGACAGATGAGGACAAACAAGCTGCCGAGGTACATGAAGAGATACTGCACGATGAACCACCAGAAGCTGACCCGACGGAAATTCACTGGGATGTACTGACGCTGGAAGAGCAGAGACAGGGAGGTGGATAAATCCCAGCAATGATGCTCGAAGGAACGGAAACAAACAAGCAAAGGAAAAGACAAAAGAAAAGTGAGAGCAGAGAGAAAATAAAACATTTAAAACAATGAAATATCTGCTTCCATTCATAGATGACAAACCTGCATAAAATACAGCATGGCAGGAGCGCACAGGGTGATGGGATAGATGGACTGATAAGTGGCCAAGCAGAGGAATATGGCACTCAGTAAGACATTTCCTGAAAAAACAAAGAGAAGGCAAATTTTTTAGAACCTGATAAAACCACAGCAAACTTCTAAAAAATGACATTTAAATAAAAGCAAAGTGATTCACGTTCCTCTGATGTAATTAAAAAAAAAGCTTCAGCAGAGCCAACGAATGGGATCAGCAGGAAACAGTCACTTCCTGCTCGGACACAAACACGAGACGAAGATCTGAAGTGTACCTTTTATTGTGGAGAGGAAGAAGAGGGCGAGCACGGCGTTGTTCAGGCCACAAGTCGACTTGGCGACACAGGATAAGATGGTGAACGGGTTCAGCAGGTAACTGTGCGAAAAGAAGCAAAGAACAATTATTAGTAACTAAATAAGTAAATAAACTGAAAACAAACAGGAGAATTTTCAGGAGATACAGTGCGTTGTCCGTTTTCCCTGGATTTTCTCAAATTTAACCTCAGAGCGGAGAAGGTGAAGCGTTCTCCTCCACAAGGTGATACTGAAATTTTATCAATCGTCTGGATGAAGCTTTTCCTCACAGCTATTAATGTTGAAGTTGAGAGGCTAAAACGTGATTCTTATCAACTGGAAATGATCATTATTTTATAATCTAGTCATTGTTACGTCCCTCTGCAGCCCCTAATCTCCTCAGTGTGTTCAGCTGGTGCTAACTGACCACACTTAGTCCGGTGTGGATGAAAGCATACCTGCAGCAGGCTTTTAGTGAGGCTCACTAGTCTTTGCCTGGGTGGTAGCAGCCACTTTAGCCAAGATAAACCTCTTTCTCACTGACATTCTGGTGTTCGTCTCCTTATTTATGTTTTGGCTTTTGAGTTGGGACATAAGTGGGGGCTCATCCGGGATCGTTTGGACATTTTTGTGGAGACTGAATTTTTGTGTTTTGTGGGTGAGTGATGGTGTTCACTGTAATTGAGCAAGTTTATATGAATTCATTTTAGACCCCGAATTCAATTCAGTTTTATTTATACAGCATCGAATCACAACAACAGTCGCCTCAAGAATAAATAAAAAACTTCGCAGCTGGAAGAGCCCGAGTGGTGACACCTTTGTTATTCTGGGTAAGAAGATGAAATTTAAGAAGCTGAATCTGGCAGGAGAGAATTTCTATAGGTGCGACTTGTGTGCAGTATGAGTGATGGTACTTACAACATGGCTACTTTCAGAGGGACGTAGTACATTTCTTTGGGGCTTCTGATGAGCTCCAGAGAGTCCATGGGGTATCGGTCGGCCTCCAAAGCAAACTTCTGCTTTCTGAACTGAAATGGCATCAAAGACAAATATATGAAAAAGAAACAGATGCAGACACACAGAGCCCCAAACACAAAGGTCTCACACAGAACACGTGAGCTGAAGTTACTCCTGTTCATTATTAGAGACGGGGTTTGGGAGTTTAGGCCAACCCTACTTCTCTACACATAAGTATTTAAACTGTGTATTTTGATGTGTTCTCACCACTTGTTTGTTGTACTCCTTCACTGCCATGTAAAGAGCCACAGCGGTGATCACGTCGGCCAGCTGAGGAGACAGAAACGGTAAAATGAAGTATGCCTGATTTAACATTTGCTGCATTTCCACTTCAAGGTCATCTCACTCTGATGTCTGCTATTTTCAAGAAGCTCTGAGGGAAATCTGTTCTGGCCCTTGTGCCTGGTCCTCTGTGATAAGAGCTGGGTGTCCTCCACTGTGCCCTCCACCCCAAAATCTCTATTTTATGGAAAGTAGCGAGGAGGTTAATGTGGTGAACACGGCTCATGATAAGTGAAGATCGTATTAGTGTGGCCATGAAGCTCTTGTTTTCTTGGTGAGAGTGGAGACACTCTACTTCAGGGCTGAATCTGGTCTCTCAGATGTTACTGGGAATCACATTAAACCTTTGCATTAACGATGAATCCTGGTTTATGAATTCATGTATAATGCTGTGGGCATCGAACATCGAGCACGCTCCTGGTGTCTCTGCTGATGCCTTTGGACTTTAAAACTGTGGATTGACACTGAAACCTGCCGTTCAGGTTCTGGGTTGTGCTCAGAGAACCAGCTCTCATCAACATCAGCCTCAAAAAGGTTTGAGGTTTGTGTGTGGCTTTACAATCAATTTGATCACACTTCAGAGTTTAATCTCCTTCTTCTTTAGGGGTTGTCACAATCATCTGCCTCCATGTCACTCGATCACTAACATCCTCCCTCACTACATCTCTGAATCTTCTCTGTGTCCTTCCTCTTTTCCTCCCACCTGGCAGCTCTTGGCCAAGACCCATATTCCCTATCCATCCTCTGCACAAGTCCGCTCCACCTCAGCCATCCCTCTCCAGTAATGAGACTGCCCCCAAAGAAAAAAATGCTTCAAAATGATGTTTTGTATTCAGACTCACCATAAATGTGATCTCTGCATAGTCCACCAAAAAGTGAAACATGTAGATGATGAGAGGAGTCTGAAAGGATCAGAGCAGAAGGAGAATTCAACATGAACATCTAAACATCAACATGCCTCATTTGTGGATTTCAGACACATTAAATAATTTTCTGCTGACTCAGATCTCAGTTGTAGAAATACACCACCTATGAGGTGCAAGCATGTCATGGAAAAATCAAGAACCAGGAACAAATGAAACATCCCAGCACGTCTATATAATTAAATAAGACATTTATTGTCCGTTTTCCACCAACACGGCACCTGGAAATGCATGGAACTGGTTTTAAACTGAGCACCAGCACTTTGTTGGTGTGAATGTGACATTCGAGAGGTGGTTTACAGATGCTACTCATCCTTTGAGTCTACAAACAGGCAGCTGATTGATTCTTGTGATCTTGATATAATACATTTTGTGTTTGTTGATTATCTGTGAACAAAGTTTGATGTGCTCACCCTACCCTGCTCTGGATGTTTTAGAGTATCTATTTAATCTCTTAGAAACCTTTGGTCCAGCCATGGCCCGACTCTAAGGAGGCCCCTCCTCACTCAGAAGATCTGACTCTGACACTCTCACTTTGTTCTGATGATGAAGTTCTTGCTATTACACAGCTGCTTAGTAAGCAAAGTTTTCACCTGGGTGTTATCTGAATGCTGCTTCAGTGGAAATCTGACCTTTTGTTGAAAGAAGTTTCTAGAAATGTTGCCTGTGTCTCTAATCCCCTCCACTGTGATGGTTCACCAAGAAATAAGGAGAATCTAGAATGTTTCATCTTTGTTTTCCAGACCATCTCCTTCATATTTTCCGATTATTTTCAGGTTAATGTACAAATATACATTCAGTGTTCACTCAGACTTTGTAAAAGGTGTTTGTGTTAGAGAGAGATTCACCTCGTGGAAAACATCTCCAGAATATGGTGAAACCCCCAAATCAAGCAGAGCCAAACCTTCAACAACTGCAAAGAAACAGCAAACAGAGAAACAGTTTTATTAAGACTGCTATATTACAATAAAAATCACAACCACAATTATTTGGTCACTGTGGAAATGTTTATTTTTGCATTTATGGAACTTCAACTTGGTGAATTTGGTCTGAAATTTCGAGAGTGAAGTGACATTGTAAACTAATTTTTCTCTATTCCACTATCGTTAGAAGCCAAAATCATAAATTCTGTTAAAATCTCCAACTTTTAATATTTTTTATTAGCACTGGGCTGTTGTCTTTGAATGCCTCCTCTTGACAGTAACAGTTCCAGAGCTTCCAGTTACAACTGAGTAATGAAAAATGCACAAAGTGTTTCTGTGCGAGTCTCACAGCACGTTGGTCATGTTTTGTGTTTTACAGAAAAACCTCAGATTGACTGCAAACCTGCACCTCAGGCTCCTGTCAGGTACCGTGTCATAATATGCTAAATGGAAACTTAAACACAGTCCACTAATATTTCACAAATTCATCTAAAACAAAATCTTTGTCTGTGGTAACTAATGGAAAGCTGATACAAATTTGTCAAATAATAAAGTCAAATCAGTGAGTGCCTCCCACTGTGAACCAGTAGATTTTTTTTGTACATTAATTATTCTCAGATATTTACTGGCCATCGAAGCACATGGGGCAGGGGTATGTGCATTTTCTCCATCACTTTTGAGCCCTCATAAATCAATGATTACAGAAGAGGTAGTCAGTTGCTAAGGGGCAATTAAACAAATATTCATGGGGGTGTACATATTTCAGTCTGTTTGTATACTTTTGTCCAAATTAGGGTGTCTGCACGGTGGTGCAATTGTTAGCACCATCACCTCACAGCAAGCAGGTCCTGAAGGCAGGGGGACATGTGCCTGTTAGGCTAAGTAGTGATTTTAAATTGGCTGTAGCTGTGGAAATTAATTTTTAAACACTTGCTGATGTAACATTATACACACACTATACACGTCAGCCAGATGTTTTACAGGTGTAACGTCTACTTTACTATGCGCAAATAACCCCGTGGAAACGAATGTGGCTCATAGGAGGGGGTCATTTACAGGGGGTCCACAAATACTAGAGACTGTGCAGATCTTTGTTCAGCCGCTGGCAGAGACTCTGGTCGTCATTATTATTGGTGGTCGATGGATGTTTGACAGAGAAACAACCACTGAGCTCCATTCATTGGAAATAGCAAAGAAACACTTCCCCTACAGAAAGTAAAACGTGTCCGTTGTTAGCTTAATGTCAGTAAAACATCACCGAACTTTCTGAATTTGAGTCTCAGCTGCTGATTTTTGCAGCTGAACCGGTTTGACCGAGTTACCGGATAACAGCGCGGATGAGAGAGAGGTGAGGGGACCCGGACGTGAACGGAACGCAGCGGCTCTAAACCGCTGAACCCGCGCTTACCTCTCTTCCAGGCGGTTATCGGCGACACCACCTCCACCCTCTCTGCAATCAGCTCCGCCAAACTGGACCGGAACAAAGCGGCACGGATCGTAACGGCCACAATCAACAGCAGAGTCAAGGGAGCCGCCATCTTGACAAGGAAGCGCTGTCCGCCCTGCGAGGTGCACGACGGGAAATCAAGTCTCCAAACGTGAAGGAAGGTGGGAGGGAACCAAAAGTCCAGATAGATAGATAGATAATTTTGGTGCATGTGATATCTTTTTACACGCTTGCTTGATGTCAACTGATGATTCATTTTACATTTGAAACACACTCTCACAAACAGAGTAAGCACACAAAGCGGAACATTTATTGTCCTATAGTTGTTTTCATCCGGAGGCTATTTGAATGGGATCAAAACAAAAAGCCGTACACAGTGAACCACTGCGCTTCCGCTAACCCTGCGTTTGTTTTATCAAAACAAAATTGACTCGGTTTAAAAATATAAATTTACTTTTTTCCTGATCAAGTTGGGATCATTAAAATAGGTTCACACAAATAATACAATAACAAGCATAAAATGCCGTCTGAAAATTAATCAACTGACATTTTAGATTTTTTTAAATTATCGCTTGTGTTTTTGATGCGTACATATCTTTATTCTTTAGATCAGGGGTCTTAAAGCTGTAGGCCACTGCTGGCATTGTCATCTTATTGGAGAGCACTTTAGTGTTCTAGGAGTACAAAAACAAACAAACAAGAAAACACACAAATATCTTAGAAAATGTAGTGTTTAGTTTGTTTTTGAATTTCAAATATTGTATAACAAGATAAAATTGCAAAGGTGAACGCATTTCTTCCCTCACTATTAACTAACTGAAGCCTTTCATTGAACTGCCAAATAAACAAATTGGTACTCTCTTTCTGGCCAGACACGTGGCAGCATTTCTGTTATATTTATTTAACAACATAAAAATGCAGAAATAAGTGATTTTTGACTGCTAGTGAAAACTGTTTTCTTTACAAATAACTCTCACTGAACTAACACAGCCAATCCCTCAACATGTTTGTACTCTCTGCTCATATTGCTTTCATATAAAATAATTTTTTGCTTTTTAAGGAACTTATTTTAACATTGCACTTATTGCACCCTAACAATAAATAAATAAATAAATAAATAAATAACTTCAAGGGTCAAATTGTACTATATTTCTTCATGTCAATATACACGCCCCAAGTAGGGGTGACGTGGGCTGCAAGTGGCCCCCGGCCTGCGAGTTTGAGGCCCCTGTTTTAAATTAACAGTTATACAGAGATATGAGCTCTTTTAAGATGCAATGAATTGAAGTAGGGCCGATTTCAACATTATTATATTTAACCCAAACAAAATAAAACCCAGGTATGAGAAAAATATTTTAGTTTGGTGCATTGGTGCACATGTTTTGTAAGGATGAAAACGCAACACTTCATGCCTACATGACATGAAGAGTTGAGTTTGTATTTTAATACTTCGTCTAAATTTCCCCCTTACAAATACACTCACATTATAGTAAAAGTAACCAAGAAACTAAGAAAAACGGAACTGAAATAAGAAAACCTAATCTGAGAGTGAATCAAAATGAAACTTAATTGAAGCTAAAAATACTAAATGAAATAGAAATAAAGCTTAATGAAAAAAGGTCATTACGTCACATAATATCACTGGATATTTGCAGATATGTACCGTTCGGTCAGCTCTCTGGTGCTTTTAAACTGAAAAGCCGGGAAGCGGAAATGGTTCCTGTTGCTTGGCACCGAACTGCAGCTTGACTCAGTGAAGCTGCTACACAGACTTTCGTTTTCATTTCTTTTGCCTGAAACTGTACCGATGTTGGCAGATTGAAGGAAAACATGGCTGGCTTGGAGGTGTTGTACACCTGTGTCGCAGGTAACATCACCTGCCCGCAGGACGCCGTTGTGTGTTTTGTTCACTGGGAGTTGATAAAGAACGGATACAGGTGCATCGGCTCAGGAGACGAGGTGAGTTCGCTTAGTTTAGCTAAATCTTGTGTTAAATTATCCCACATTATGGCAAAGATAATATTTTCTTTTTACATCATTCTTACGCCAAATTGTGGAATGCAAATTAAATATTAGCAAAAAGATTCTGTGTATGTGGTTTTCGATGTTTTTCAGACCGTAATTCCAATAATTCTTAAAATGTCGGTTTTCCAAGGGAGTTCTGTATGTAATTCTCAATGTACATTAGCTATAGCTTCATAAACAAGCATCACCTCCCGTGTCAAGCTGACGTTAACGCGAAGAATTTAAAAGTGTGAGAAATGCGTTTTAGGTTTCTTTAATCCAACTGTCATGGCTGATATTCAGTTTGACGGCATCTGTTTTAAGAGGGACAGTTTACCAAAACTGTCATGTCATCTTTAGCTGGCTAACCCACTGGGGCAGTCATCCTGAAACACCACGGGAGTTTATGACACAGATTCGTGTTAGTGTGCAGCCTTGCTATCCTCCACCCTCTCCCATTGTTCATTTTACAGAAATCAACAGGTAATCAGTATTATTTTTAAAATGAAGCATTTATAATGAGATTTAACGTGAAAAGGGAAACGTTTGGCATCTCTGTGTGATTGTTTTACATAAAAACACTCTGGAATGACACCTACCATTTAGTAAAGTGACCCAGTTCCAAATGAGACATTTCTCTTTATTTTGAACATGATGACATGTTGAAAAGTTTTTTTTTTCTTTAGATATAAATAATGAGAAATTTTTATGCACCTAAAAATGAATTCACTCTACCGGATTTTTATGTGTATCATTATCATTATTATATTTATTTTTCCACGTTCGTTTTTTATTTTATTATGTGGAATTTTACGTTATTGACCAATGTTGTTTTGTCACATTTTAATTATAGGGTTAGTCTTGTTTATGTTAGCTAGTTTTAGTCTGTTTTACTGCAGCAACACAAGAATCTGCAATATGTTTACAATTTTTACAACAATCTTACAACCTTAGTGATGAGATTAGTATATGTTATATCTAATAATAACACATATTTCTTGCTGTAGTTCTTATGTATTGTTTTGTTATTTGCAGTGAACTGGCCAAATTCTGATAACAAATATTGTGAAAAGAAAAAGCAGGTTTCTGATTGAATTGACCCCCTTTGTTTTTATCTGTCTTCACGGCCTCTGTGACCTTCCTGCTCCAGGCCCGCAGCAGTGATAAGAAGTCCGAGCTGCTGCCTGCTGACTGGAGTAACAACAAAGAGCTGTACAGTCTGCGATACAAAGCCAACAACAGTGACACCCAAATGCTCCTCAAGGCAATCACTGTTGATTCCACCTTGATCTTCAATCTGATGGTAAGCACATAAACATTTGATTTGAATCTTAATTAGTTTTCTAGACAATGGCAATTTAAAATAGTGCTTTAAAAATTATGGTAGTGTGTGGGTTTTTTCCCTCTATTAATGACAGCAGAAACCTGAAATTTTGCATAATTACGAGGACGTTATACTGCCACTGTTCTATCAAAGTTTAAAACGAATGTCCTCATATGTGGATCTCTTTTTCTCAGAAACAAAAATTATGTAAAAAAAAAAAGAAATCTGGTAAGTCTTAGTTTTTAAATTCATCAGGTTCCAATCAGCCCAAATAGCAAAGAGAAATTTAAAATGCCATGAAAGAGTTCAGGTCTTAGGAGGTTAAGAAGAAGATTTTTTCTTCTGGATTATTTTTCATTGGAGCACTGATATAGACCGACCAGTTTATCCTGCATTTCAGTCCTGATGTAAGGATCCATAAAAAGCCTTAAAAGGGAATCAAGTCTGATTTTCTAAGTTTGAATCTTGATGTTCAGAGCAGACATCACTGCAGCCAGGGGTGAGGTCGCAAACACTTTACTTTTAAATTTGTGTTTTTTTCGGTCATTCGAGTTTGTATCGATTAAAATGTTTCGATTAGTTTAGTGTTTAGTTCAGTGAGTTTTAGTTTTTGTCATTCATATACGGGTCGTATTACTGCACTGTAAGACTGGAGAAATGTAGATCTATGCAAAGATCTGACACACAGTTGCGTAAAATAAGAAAATATGATTTAGGTTCAGTTTATTATTTGCTAGTTTGTTGAGATATTATTCTCCATGTTAATCTATCTTTTTAATGGATCGTGTGTGTGTGTGTGTGTGCGCGCGCGTGTGTGTGCGCGTGTGTGTGTGTGTGTGTGTGTGTGTGTGTGTGTGTGTGTGTGTGTGTGTGTGTGTGTAGAACTCCAGCACACAGCAGGTGTCGGACTTAACGGTGAACATCAACGACCACGTGAACACTGACCAGCTTCATACATTTGACAGGTTATTTTTTTGAGCTGCTCTACTTTATTAAGCTTTTATTCTGTTGTCTTATGTTGTTCTGATTATTATAATTGTTGTGTTAGACTTTTGGATCCTGTAAGGGACAAACTTTCCAACTTTAGGAAGAAATGTATAAATAGTAATAAAGTATGCCTCGTACTCAGCCTGCCTTATAAGGTCATCTCAGATTGATACTCACTTGTTGTTGAAATCTTTTATTTGTTGGAAAAAGCCTATTATAAAAAGGTTGTCTGACAGGGAGGGTGGCCTTGAAGGGCAGTTTGTTTGATAACTAAAGATTATTTTGAATTGTGAGTCATGCTTAGCAACTCTGGTATAGTCAGAAAATAAACATATAGAGCTGAAAAATAAATGAAGTCATCTCTCTTCTCTGCAGTGTGTTCAAAGATGCAGACAGTTTGTCAGAGAAGGTGAAGACTCAGCTGCTGCCCCCCCTGGACAGACCGACCGGACAGAGAGCAGAGAGGAAGAGTCAGCGGGATGAGGAAGAGGAGGCGCAGAGAAGAAGAGGAGAGGACAGTGACCCCCTCCGTATTCCCAGCAGGAATCCTCGCCAGGGACACACCCTCACTGGTTGGTGATGATACAAACTGTGCATGCAAAACTTTACAACAAAACTCATGAACTGATCGTTAAATATGTACATTTTACTGTCATGTGTGACACACAGTTATGGTTGGCACATATTTGTAATGTTCCTGGTTTCTCTCTCTTTGCATTTGTGGAAAAAAGAGGATACTGCCTGAAACTATGAGTCAAATAGAGATAATAACGAATGCCTTGCTTACTAATTTTTCTATATCCACCTACTTTTGCTCATTAA